ACATAAATCAGTATCTATAATCTCTCAAAAAATTCCTGTCACCCAATTACACCATTCCAAATTAACAATAAGAATCACAAAAGGACTTCGTCCGATCCTCCCTAGACCTTCCTCAACTGTAACCCTAAAACCTCGTCACAGCTCCCCTAAACACATCTCATACCACTTTCCCAAAGATCCTAATCTCGCATTAAAAAGCCGAAGAAGACTGAAAAATCAATCAATGCTCAAACGGAGAAAGCAAAAATTCCTCGAGTACGAAAATTCAGAAATTCCACAACTTTCCACGTATTCCTTGCCAGTCGACAGAAATTTTCGAAGGGGTTGTTCGCTTATTCTGGCGATAGGCCAGGCGTCAGGAACGGCCAGTCGTATTTCATCGTTAATCTTATAAAAGAATAATTCTGCACGTGTTAATGATAAACACGATCTCGCGTGCCCACGGTTACGTTCACGAAGGACGAGAGATGAACGACACGCGATCCAACGTGCACGGGTTTTGTTACCGTGCGTTGCACAGCCGGGGTATTCAACCGCGCACGAATTCCAAGCGGGGCTTGGACAGACAGAAAGGAATCACGGGACCGGGATATTCCTCGATCCTGTTCTGTTTACTCATACGTTTCGTTGAAAAGCTGCTGCCGGTGTTCGAGGATTTCCAATTATCGAATTTGTTTCTATTGTATACTGGCTCTCGTTTGAATTAGAACGCGAAGCATCGGCTGTTGTTATTGGCTAACCTACATAATTAACGTGTTACCCTTTTCTCTTTTCCTTCGTGCTAGAAAAAACGAATTATGGAATGAGAATTTCAATCGCAACTTGGCGGTATACTTAATCGATGCAGAAGGTGCATGGTTCGTTGGATCGGTAGGTTTCATAAATCAGAATCAGAATTTTAACTGGAATTTGAGCTAGAGTTGCAGAGGTGGTTCCTCGGGGATCTACGAGAAAAATTATAATATCGCGAGAAAAATTAAGTCGACGAAATGATTTAGTGTGTATTTCAGTTAAATGCGTGAAGCTGTACGTGAAACATAACCATTGGGATCAGAAATGTAGATCAAATTCCTTCGACACTACGAATCAAAAGGAATATTCACGTAAATATCGACAACTTTGCAGACAATTATCTAACTAATCCATCAGAACTTTCTACTCTCGTGTTGGAACTTTCTGTACAAAGAAATACAATATCCTTAAGCCCTTGTAACTGTACAGACTATTGAAAAAAGGGTCCGAGACCTTAGAAGTCTAGTGCTCTAGATGAGAAATAAAACGAGTTTGATCAACATTGGTTTCTACGATCGATACTTTTAGCGTGATATATCATGTTGTATCTTCTTGTGAGTATACCTAATGGGCCTAATTTATTCGTTCATAATGAATAACGCAGTTGAATCGTAACGGTGGGTGAAATATGCACGTGCATCATACAATGTGAAACGAAACAGGAATATACGAGAATATGTGCATCTATACAGTATGTATTCCATGAATTTATTACGCGTTATACGAACTTGCATATTATATAATAATTATATAATACGCGAATATAAATATTAATACTAGAACTACCAAAGGAGTCAAAATAACTTGACTGGGACTCCTCGTTGTTGAAGTTACCCAGAATATACAAAATATAAATATTTTATGCACATTAAATATCTTCAGATCGGTAGTTCTACTATTAAACACCTGTCATTCCATAAATTTCAAAGAAATCAAATTTCCGAGACTCTCCATTTTTAAAACAATCGGCTACACGATATCTCCCACCCCAAAAGCACCTCGTGTAAATCGTAAGACTGAAAACCTGCTCAAAAATCTTCCACGTGCCATATCTCACGACCCAGTCGCAATGTCTACGTAACCACACGTAACACGCGTCTCCAACACGTTCCAACGACACCTCTATCCGCATACATTGCCAGCTGAATGGCTGGTGTGACAATTAAAAAGGAGGCTACGGAAGAAACCGTAAGAGCGCGTCGATTCTCGGGGAACCTAGATTCGCGGTGCTTTCGAACTTTCGTCGGCGCAACTTTCAAGGCTGCCCGGTTCAAGAGGACCTCGTGAATGGTCGCGGCTTTTCGCGAGCGGCCACACGGCTGTAAACGAAATCCCAAGGCCGTGGGTCGTCACCGGGTCCTCCTGCGACCCGTTGCAAGTCCCTTCGATTCTCCAAACGGGGACGAAACGCCGCCATCGGTCCGGCGTCTCGCATTTCCAGCCAGGAATCGTACAAGTTTCGCAACGAGTCGGTTACGTGCACGAAGAACGAAGGGGTAACCTTTATTGCTCGGAAAGGCGTAAAGTGGGACAGTGGCCTGATTCCTGGTGTCATGGCTGCAGCTGCATGTGCACCGACGAGAGTGGAACGGCTATAGACACACCGAATGTGCAACCAGTACTCCACTCCGGCCCGTCTTGGAACCATGCCAAAAGCTCGCGGGCATTCGTCGTCTCTCTCGCCCAGGAAAGGAGAAACGTGGAAAAAGGAAAACCGTGGAAACACCGTCGGATTAATATGCGCGCGTTATGCGAGCGCACAGTGGACTCGCCTGCTCCATCCGCGAGCCGATTCGCTCCACTTTTTTCGCTTCGTTTCACGCGAGCTGGTCAAAGGAAGAAACGACTGCTCCTCGTTGCCGGGAAATGTTGATCCTAAATGGATATTAAACGTTACCTCGCGACGAAAGAAGGTGCTGGTGAGACGGTCGCGACGTGGATGAGAGGGAGGTTAGGTTGTCGGTGTGGTCTGTTGGTAAACGGACGAGAGGATTCGCGATGGCACGTTTTACGGCCGAGCCGACTTTCACGGGATCCAGTCTCTGGCCGTAAATAATTAGAGACGATCGATAATCTATTTCATGCATGACGAAATTATCGATTCGCGAAATTGGATTAACGGGACACGCCAACGAGTTTCGAGCAAAAATTGTAAACAGATTGTTGACCGCGATAAACGATCCGTACGCTCCCGCACCACGCGAATCGCGTCGGTTTTGGCAGAAAATTCGGATCAGTCTTTTGACACGTCTCTGGGATCATTCGATGTCAGGTTTCGTCGAATGGGTGCTAGAGAAATTATTTCTAAGCGAAAAAATATCTCGTTTTACAAAGGATTCTTTGAGATGGCTCGAGGAAAACGACGAAAGAAGGCCGACGACCGGTGAGTTTTTCTCCAGAACGTTGCCAACAGTCTAATTGAACGAACCGTAGAAGGTGTAGTCCTAACGATAAAAGAAAATAGCTTGGGAAGTATTTATGCAAATACGCGCCTTCGCATGGCGCATGCAAGTCAGTTTTATCGAAGGTGGCACGACATCAAGGTGGTTCACCCTTTCGCGGAAGGTACCAATCTACAGGGGTGTTCCGTGCACTGCGTGAAAATAAGCGTTCCTACCACCACGACCGACTCGCCAGCGCTCACTCTAAACCGATTCCAACGAAAACCGCCTTGTTTTATCCGTTTCTCCGACGACCAGTCTTAATTAATCACTCGGACAATCTCTTAAGAATTTTCCTCCACATTCCCGACATCCTGACTCGTCTCTCTCCGAGCGACTTCGAGTTTAGCTCGGAATTCCTCCGATCCGCGATTCTCCATTCCCCGTCATCGATCACGAGGCAAATAACCATCGTAACCGAAGCGTGCATAAATATTCCATCGCATAAATCTTCCGTATCGCTTCTTGGAACCATTTCCACCTTGATTGCCCGCCTTTGACGCGGCTGAGAACGCGATTACCTTAAAGCTCGAGGCAGCCTCGGTCTCCTCGCGCTGTGCATAGCTTCTACTCGCCGGGGTTGGCGAGAAACGGAATCGAATATCCGGCTTGAATCTCACCGAGACCTAATTATCGACCGTGTGAAAGGCCGGGATCCTCGTGAGCGTCGAACAACATTGATTTACGGACACGTCCCCAGCGAGTGGGATTCCTCGTACGTTGACTCACGGCTGCCAGTCGCACTAAATGCAGTCGCAACTTCGGCTGGCTCGGTTCCAGCAACGTATAACTGTATTCCGCCTCGATAGATTCGGTAATCGAGGTCAGTGTACCCCTTGCTTTGACGTATCTATTTGTAGAGTAATTTTAAAGTCAGCCTCTTTCGCGGAGTTTGGCCCGAGACACTGAGAGCCAGGAAGAATTTTCTAATAGGACTGTTCCTTTCAGACGATGGATAAATAGGTGATAGTCCGTGGTGGTGTATGTTAGATCGCGTTTCAAGCGACCTGTATTTTTACCCGGTTCGTTTAATTGATCTGACCTATCAATAGAGGGTCGGATGAGGGAACCAGGCTTTGTTCGGACGGTAACAAAAGAGGAACAATCCGGTGGAGACGTTGTGTAAGACGCGCAAGGGTGAACGCGATGAAAACAATCGTGGAAATAGTTCATTAAAATCTGGAGAATCGATAAATGGGTCACCGCAGGTCGTCGGGCAATATCTCACGTATCCACGACGAGTACTCGATCGTCAACTGGGTCATTCGACTGTAGCGAAAATGGGCGGCAAAAGTGACAGAGTATCTCGAGTCCACTCGGGAAATGTTTTTCCACGTTCCCAGGCCGTCGAACAACGCTTCACCATGACCAGCAAGCCACGGGAACGTTTCGATATATTTACACAACACCTACGCCGATGACCACAACAAACGAACCTAGCCAAACTACCTCCCACCGATAACACACCTAACGATCTCTATCAGAGTATATTAATCCGTCTTCCAAAGAAAATGTCGTCGAAAGCACAAGACGCCGCCTGTATTTACACTGTACATCACCAACGCGACAGCTTCGTCCCCAGAGAATTCAAACTCGAACAGCACCCTCCCTGTTTGAACCTCTGCCAACGATAAATTCATCTACCGATCATAGAGGATTCCTCTGTCACTCTTCCACATCTTTTCTATTACGGAGAAAAACAAAGAGAAATAAAAGGGGAAAAAACAAGAAGACCAACGCGATGTCCAGGTGCAGTCAAAGACTTACTTTGCTGATTGCGTTCGACGAGGTCCCGCGAAGAAACGCCGCGTCGATTCGCGAGGGTTAACGCCGGTCACAGTGAGAAGACTCGTCCTCACGAGGAACGGTACATCGAGCTGGACGTGGAACCGAAGCAAAGCAGAGCTGCACCGCGAAGCACTGTGTGTGTATCCCGCTCGTCGAGAGATCGCTTCGACGGGGTGGTGGTCCCGCGAATACTGAGCCTCCGGAGCTTCGTATCCTGGTCGATAAGCCACCCTCCGGGGCCACCCACTCGCGCTAAAGGTACGATCACACCTGCGCTAGGCTCACGTGGGCTCGCGTGCATTCACACTAAGCCCCGAACGCACCTTTAACCTTTCGCGTTGATTATCACCAGCGCGGGTACGCTGCAAGGTGTAGGTACGAAAGCGTGCGCGTGCGTGCGTCAGCGTGCGTGCGTTAAGTGTACACCTACTCCGAAACAAACGAGATTTCCAGCGATAGAACGTCGTTCCTCTCTCCGGGCTATTCTTTCTGTTTGCAGTGCAATTTGTCTGCTCGCGTCTGTTTGAGCACCAGTCGGCCACGCCACCACGCTGCCCTCCTCGTCTGTTTGCTTCCCTCTGTTGTCCGCTGTTTATTATGCGCCAGCCGGCCGAGCCGCGCCGATGCTCGTTATTACCTGCTGATGCGTTTTGCAGGGGATCTACAGTGCAACAAGTATACACGGACCATGCGATTTGGGTCTTTTGGGTCGCTGTTGCTGGGCTATGTCGCTGTGTCGCTGTCCCGATACCTAGCAATTTATAGGGATCCTCCTGTTATTTTTCACAGATTACATTGTCCAACAAATTTTAACTCTTTGTCTAATACATAATATCCATTAGGCGATTCTTGTAGAATCTACTTTACTCAGAAAAGAACAGAAAGTTCGAATTTTTCCATCGATCTTCGGTCGATCGGGGACTATATAAAGGGCGACATACCGATGCTCGATTCATTTGTCGATTTGACTTCAAAAGTATAACATTAAAATTTTTTCGAGTCCGCGAGGGGAGTGGATCCAAAGAGAGGTTGCAATGGACCACCCCACCCACGTTCCATCCCCTTAAATAATTTAATAATAATTTTCTTTTTCCAAGTCTAATTTATCTTTTTTTTTTAGCTTCTATTTATATTTTTTAACGGGTTTCAATTATTTTCTTTTTTTCAGACTTTATTTTCCCCTTCCTATTTATATTTATTTGAGAATTCGAATATTTCGTATAATATTCGAATGGATTGGCCACCGCACCCACGCCACACCCCCTTAAATAATTTAATAATAATTTTTCTTCTCGACGATCAACTATAACTATTCAGAAACACAAATAATAGATAAACCAGGAATAACACTCTTTTAAATGTAATTGAACATGACATTCCAGTAACAGGTTACTAAAATTATCTGCAGTTCCTTGTTTTAAAGGATAACATTCAATACAATGTTTAATATCTTTTACTATATTATTATTTCAGAATTATTTAAGAATCCGGGCAAAAATTTTTACCTCGTTTATTATCATCCCACATGGGTACGTGAAAAATATTTTCCATCGAAATTAAATTTTCCCCGTCCATTTTTAGATCACTTTCCACAAGCTTCATTTTTATTCAACATCAACGATGATTGGATCCCTGATATTATGTTGTGGAATTTCCTTTTCACCTCAACAGTCAGTACTGCGATCCGCTACGACCAAATTATCCTTACCCGTTTCGGGTAATATTAAATCCTTCGCATAAATTACACCGGGCGTGATCCTTTATTTATCACCATTATTTCATCGAAAGTCGTCCATCGTGCCAAGTGTATCGTTCCAAAAGCGATAGTTGAAAAGTTAGCGCGCGTGAATGAAAAATT